GACATATTATTTATTTAGATGCATAGCAAAATGGATGTACCAAAAAAATGAAAGTGACTTATAATTTGGAACAGAGGGAGTAAAAAATAATCATGCCAATTATCCACCAATCACAGATGAGTAGAAATTATTTGAGAATTTACCTACAAATGGAGTGCCAATATATGTAGGACTGCAGCTGGTAACAAATGCCTTGATGGCACACAATAGCCGTGGTACTAAAGGGTCAAGTGCCTCCAAACAGTGATGCCACATAGACCTGTGAACTCTGCCACCCTATCACTGAACTGACTGCAGGCTGAAGTAGCCGGCAGCTTTGCTGCAGGGGTCGGGGTCGGGGTAGAGTCTGGTGCCGGCAGCTTTATCGCAGGAGCCTCCGTCTCCCGCTCAGTTCTCCATCTCAAATAAGCATAGTTATAGAGTGGCACCTAAGCTTCATCAATTGTATAGGCTAAAACTAATTCATGAATAATTCAAAATTTCAAACACAGACTGTTCTTTCGAACTGCCAACAATAACTGAAACAGAAATGATCAAAAGTTACTAAGATAATAATTAGCAAAACAACATCAATGGTATATCTGGTTGTAGAAAGCATGAAGCACTGCAATGATCAAAAGTTACCAACCTTAGAGCTGGGAGGTGGAGATCTCATATCTACTCTGAATAAACCTAGCAAATTGCTAATATTCATAATAGAAATAAATTGGCAACTTCACCTAATGCCCCCAAAGGAAGAGCCTAATTCAATTGCCTGTGTCTGAACTTCTCATAGCCCGAAAGCATATGCTAATGCACACCACCTCATCACGCGACCCTCCTGCTGAGCTGATCATCTGGACAGTCGGCCGTATCTATTCAATTGCAAGTGTCGTCATTGTATTGCAGAGGGATGATAAATTCAGGAAAATAATTGTATGGGTAAATCTATAAATTACAGTAGTACAACTTCAGGACCGTTTTGGTATACAAATTCCTTGTTTTTTTTAAACAAATATACATATTCCTTGTTGCTTTGATGAATTACTCCACATATTTGTCTATTGAAAAATCCATATATATTCTTCTAGGCTCTGTTGTTTTCAAGCTATAGATCTGCAACAATGATTTTTGCATTTATTGATTTTACTTCATTAGCAACTGACGAGGGAACAAAAAGGAATATATATCACAGGATGGAAAGAACTGATGTCACCTGCTAGGCTACTACTTATTTATCCATACTTTGACATATATGTGTGTGTCTTGATTGGCTGAAATCTGACTACTGAAAATGATACAAGCAACTTATATAAATGTAAAGATCTTGGTATATAATCTATCTTTTAGAAGCAGTAAGTCATCTACCGTGCACCAGCATAGAAGCTGGCTGCATAAACTCCAAACAGTAAGAAGAAGGAAACCCCAAAGCCAATTTCATTTGTATTTATGTCCTGATCCACTTAAAGGTCCTTCACATTTTTCTCTTGAACAAATCCATCACTTTTTCTTCAGCTAAAATGATGCCATTGTCCTTATGCTGCTCACTGCATCATTTTCTATTTGACTTGCCTCCTCATACATCAGCTGAAATCATAACACATAATCAGTGATCTATGAATAATGTGAATAACTAACTGAATAAACAGCAACATTTGTTATGGCTTCTTGTCATACCTTTGCATCTGCACATGAAACTTAGGCTTCTTGTCATACCTTTGCACCATAGAACTGAACACATGATATACATATTAGTTATGGTGGATATAATTTCAGGAAAAAAAAACTTCACATGAAACTTAGGGTCTCATTGGAAATCACATGCAGTCGAGGATTAAACATGAAAGGATTATAAACGTGACAGAAAGAGTGACTATGCTATTAGAAAACTCATGCCAAACTTTAAGTCCATGTAAACAAAATGACACGGTCTGTGTGCCTACTGATTATCCTCTTTAGGTGAATGCATTCGGTGCCGGCGTCCAAGGAACAAATGCCTACCAGTTAGTGTGGTGTGACTGTAGAAGTGTAGAATCACCAGCGCTGAATGCAGCAAGGCAAGTTTGATAGCTCAGATGCCTGCCAGTTATGTGTTCTCATTGCAACGCACATGATGTTGAGAAAAAATGTATCTGAGAATGTCCATCTAAATTTCAACATCAGTACTTGCACCCAAGCCAGAAAATATACTTTGGTCTGATTGCAACCTGAATGTCCAGTTTCATATACAGTGTTGTTTTGTACAGGTAATAGCACTTTTTAAGTTTAAATTATATGCTGATTTACAGCCTGCAAAAAGAAAAAGAAAAAGAAAAAGAAAAGAACCTAAGCATCACTATACGTAAGTCCCATATAGAAGAGAGTAACTCCTGTAATTCAGTGCATGCCTGTTTATGAACATCCTCGGTGTGAGAGTTGAGGAGCTTGACAAAGAGAGGCAAAGCTACGGAGAGCAGCTTCCTGAAGTGCGCGGTTGCCTCAAGCTGCACGGTGGGGTCGTTGGAGAGGACGGCCTGCACCATCGCCGGCAAGCCATCGAGCTGCACAACCAGAAGACAAGAAAATCATATCCATGTCGTTAGATCGAGTACCACCCCATCACCCAAACCCTAACACAGGGGGCGGATCAGATCGGGGCAAGAAAAAGCGAGCCAGGGAGGCAGGGAGGGAGGGCAGCACCGAACCTTCTGCCGGAGCACGGTGGAGTGGCCTTCACCGCCACGTCCGGCACTGGGTGTGATGGGGAGGGAGAGGAGGCGACGGGGTCCTCGGCGGCGATCCCGTTGGTGGTGCGGATCTAGTCAGCGGAGGGGAGGCCCACGAAGACAACCTCGATGATGGAGCTGGCACCGGCAAACCAAGCCGGCCACTCCGCCTCTTGCCTCCCGCCCCTCGCCCGAGAGGAGGGCGTCGACGGGAGGGAGACCGGGAGTCTGGAGGCGTTTCTTTCTTTTTCTTTTTCGTTTTTTGGGTGGGGGGAGGGTTATCGGTTTTGAAATTGGCAGAGAAAAGGGGTGGCGTGGGAATCGATCCCTGGCCACGGAACCAGGTCGCAGGGACGGGTGAACGTGAGGCTGTTCACAGGATCGCACGGGCGGCGTAAGAGCGACCCAAAAAAAGTCACACAAAAAAATTGTCTTACTTTTGTTCTTTTTAGTTGTAGGAGATACAATTTATACATAGAAAGAATGTGAACAACTCATTATATTAGATGTGTATTCTTTAGTCTAATCTAAGTCATTAGATTATCATAAAATCTAACGTATAAATTATTTTCTTTATTATGATAAATCTACTATATTTTTTGGTTTAATCTGAGTTGTGTGCAAGAGCATGTCTTTTATGGGTGGAATAATGTATGGACGGGATCACAAATGGGGTGTGCAGAACGAAAGTAAATATGGTCCTTTGTAGTTGCCTCAAGTCTATTATTCCAAATGTTGACTCTAGGTTGTTTTTAGTATTCATTTTCAATGTTTCAAGTGATATGAGTAGATTTGTCTTGAAAATTTGTTTTAGAAAAACTTCTTGTCAGAAATGGAACTGCTTGAATATTTTGGTTGAGACAGTTTTTCTAAAATACGAACTTTGATGATGAATATGGCCATGCCGTGTATGCTAAACACAAGTGCAAAGCCAGGTCGTGTAATGCCGGTCTCATTTTGACAATATTGTGTCGTTTTCATTTTCAAGAAAAAAATGTAAAAGTGAATTGTCCTTGTATCGGAAGTTTTTTTTATCATTTTCACCATATACAGGAATTAGTAACCAAAGTCTATTACAACCCAATAAAGATTACAAAGTATATACAAAAATATTCTGTTTGAATATAAGCAAACGAGCGTGCAAAGATAAGCACTTTGGTCGTGTGTGACTTTATGTTTTCTTTAAATTACAAGATCATACAGAAACGCTAGGCTATTTATTCAAAATTGAGATGGGCCCTTTTTTGTGTGTGTGTGGAGGGGAACCTATCGAATGAGGTGGAAGCTATTCAAAATCTACATGATAAAGGTTGAACCCATAATTTGTGAAACAGAAGCTGTTCCTGCACTTTGTGGATTTCGAGCCATCTGGGTGGTACCATCACGCAGAAGAAAACGAATTGCCTCAAAGGTAATGGATGTTGCAAGGTAAGACGATTTTTTATTTCACATGCTGTTTATTTGTTCCATAAATTTCATCAATTTACAAGTCAACACTTCTTTAATGTTGCTGGCAAGGTGCTAGCATGCCGTTACTGCAAGACCAGTGCATTCTTATTCTACAAAGACGGACCTGTGTAACAGATGTACTCTAAGAAGACCCGCTCTGAAACATCTCTTCCCCGTGTAAAATACTCTGCTTGTTATTGGAGCATTGGACAAATGATATAAACAATTAGATCAACCTGTATTCAGGTAGACCAGAGATTGGCGATGGCTTTGTAGCAATGTAGTTTTCTCTTCTCTTTAAGTAATAATAGCTGCCTTGTGATCTTCATAAATAACTTTTCATGATCTCACATGCTCCGTTGCAGCAATGCTGCTGCACCAAGCATGGAACTAAGAGAGTGCATGTACAAGATGGATGTTTGCGCAAGAAAATGACAGACTGCAGCAGCAAAATGACAATACATCAATGAATGAATCATGTATCATTGATAGCTGATACACGCTGTTTCTGAGGAAAAGAAAAGGAACTCCTGGAATTTTTCATTTAAAATGCATATTCGCATTCCTTGTCAATGCCAAGGATCTAGCAGTCTTGTACAATTGGGAACAACTGCTTAATGTCTCCCCACTGGTCAAGATAAGCATTCTAGCTATTCTTGTGCAACAAAGAAAAATAGAAAACGAACATCTTAATGTGTCCTACTTGATGGATCATTTATAGCTGCCTTTGAGTACTCATCAACTACTGCTTTTGTAAGAGAGGGGTTCAATGAACTTTGTGCGGCTTGGAAGTGGGTATTATGTATCGAACTTGCTGAGATATCTTCCCTCAGTGCTGAGATAGCTTCGCGGCAAAGGCCTTCAAGATCAGCACCAGTGAACAACTCGGTACACTCCCGCAATCTCCCAAAGATCTACATCCTCTCCCAATTTCATTTTCCATGTATGGATGCGTAGTATCACGTATCGCCCATGCACATCTGGCGGCGGGACATACAGCACCTGCAGATCAATGGGAAATTATGGTCAGTGCCTATATGTCCATGTCTCAATGACAGGAGCATTGAAAGACCTTATCAAAACGTCCTGGACGCAGAAGAGCAGCATCAATTGCATTTGGGCGATTCGTAGCACCCAATACGATAATTCCCTAAAAAGAAAAGAATGCCCTTCTAGTGAACATACATGTATGTAGATATAATCAGTAGAATCACACACAAAGCTATCAGAAGGCTAACAGTACCGTAGCCAGTTCTAAACCATCCATTTCGGTCAATAAAGTCGACAAAAGTCTTTCTCCAACTGTGGCATTGCCACTAGAATTCCCAACAGGGCCAGTTCTGCAAGATGATACAGGTGCCAACATAAACAATTTGTAGTAAAATTTACACCTGGTAATCTGAAGCTAAAAGTAAAGATTTACAAGTGCAAAACTGAATTCCATATAAACTGATTCTACTGTCATAAAAAGAACACCCAAGTTACCATTTTCAACAAGAATTTGCTTGCACACGCTGTTCAATTCTCCACATTATGTGTACCATGTTAAATACATTTTTTTTTCATTTTAACAGTAAAAGAATGGATAGGCAATTCCTATCCATTCTTGCTAGTTATGACAGTTATATCAGATCATTTTATTATATTGTGCATCACATATCAGTGCATACCTCTTGGGGGCAATGGCATCAGCCTCGTAAAAAAATATAATGCTTGGAGAAGCAAGACGTGCTTTTTGAAATGTTCTACCTAACAGAGCTTCACCTTCTCCAACATACTTGGAATATATAAATCTGCACCACTGTTATAAGAATTTATGTGAAAACCTAGCGAGTGTTGAGGAGAGTATCTTTATCTGAAGGTGTTTTAGTTTATTATTTTTTAAGCTTTTGCTGAGTTCTGGATACCAGATATTATCATCTTAACTCAACTGGCAGAAATCAGTAAATTATGCTAATCTGTTTTAAATACTGTGGAATAAAAGTTCTATGCTCTTCGCACAACGGAAGTGAGCTGTTATTTTCTCAGCATACAACATTGTTTACTGATGAACCTCAAAGAAAAGAAAGAAGCTTGGGAAGCATGTGCTGCAGCCTTGGCAAGGGTAGTCTTCGAGCACCCTGGCGGACCATGCAAAAGCACCCCCCGGACTGGTGGTATCCCAAGTCTAGAAAATGCAGCAGCATGCTTGATGGGCCACTCAACAGCTTTCTGAAGCTCTTTCTGAAGCACAAGAACAACCACCATCAAAACAGGTTTTTTGCCAGAAGGGAGCCAAAACAAGAAATGCCTAACCTTTAGATCTTTCAAGCCTCCTATATCATCCCATGAAACAGTTGAAATTTCTTTGGTTACCCCTCTTATTATGCTTGGTCCCACCATAGATCTAGCAGACTCCCAGTCCTCCATGTGTAGTTTAAGTACTTTGTCACCCTCAGATATGTTTAACATTCTATGATATGCAAGCTTGGCAGCTTCTCGACATAAATGCTTCTAAATCAGCTCCAACATAGCCATTGCAGAAAGCAGCAACGGTTTGAAGATCGACCTTTTCATCCAGATGTAGGTTTTTTGCATAAAGCTGAAGAAGATAAAGACCTATGACATTAGGTTTACGTAAAACTGTAAAAGAAATCAAGAGCATGAATTCAAGATTTCACAAAACGCAGAATTTGATATGATGTCTTAAAGCCTTTTATACAATCATGTGGTCAAAAACATAAAATTACATTTGTCATTTGTCAACAGCAATTTCCTAAGCCAGATACCTAAATTGTAACAGTAACCATAAGAAAACCACTGTGTACCAACAGATTTATGAAATACGACATCAAATACTACCTTAAGAATCAGCAGCCGTTCTTCAACTGTAGGAACAGCAACCAGGCCCTGTTCGGCTGATCCAGTTTGTGACTGATTTCAGCTGATTTCGGCTTATTCAATAGTGTTCTGTGAGAGAGAATAAGCTGAAACTGGATCAGCTTAAAAAACTATTTTAAGAAAAGTTTGTAAAATGTGCGCAATTAATTAAACATAACAGCATTCCATGGTATCTGTGTATAGATTGTAAATCATGTCCCAGCAGGATTCTTAAACATGGAACAAACCCTGAATTATTGCAACAGTGGTATTTGGAAATCAAAAGTGTGGCATGCCCATACCTGTTAGTCGATGCAACAACAACTACGTGAGGAAGCATCTTTGACGATTTCTTGTTTCCATCCATCAGAGTAAGAAGTTGGCCAAGCGCACGGGGCCAATGCGGGATTCATTCTCTCTCCTGTGAAAGCGCATTAAGATCTCATTTACACACACAAAGAAAAGAGATATGCAAAACTTGCCTATCGTGGACATATGGCATCAAGTTCGTGGATGAATATCACAGCTGGTTTGCCCCGCGAAGCCTGAGAATATGCTTCAGAAAATGCTTCACGCAGGAACTTTTCTCCCTCTCCCACATGGGCTTTGTGTACAGAATATGGACTGTCAAGGTGGCCAGAGCAATATATTTCAAATCATGTCAAAAATACAGTGTACAATTGTACATGTCAGCACTAAACAGAAACAGTTCAAAGTAAATTCAGTACTTGATCATTGTCAGGTGCGCATTGCATTCTCGAACAATAGCTCGAACCAGGTTTGTCTGCCAAAAACAACAATCACCATACTGTTTAGGTCTTCCATATTTCAATACTGACAAGTTAAATAAACATCAAACTCCACCAAAAAAAAATCCAAGCACTTCAAGGTGATTTTAGATGATGGAAAATAGAGCTGAGAGTTAAGACGAGGAATTGCAAATTCAGTGCCTTTCCGGTGCCAGGGGGGCTGTGGAGCAGCAACCCTCTGGGACACTGAAGAAAGCAAGCTGAATGGTTAACCCGAAGGTGTAGCAGACAATGACGAAGTCTGATGGAGGCAAGAGGCGGGAGCACATTACCTTGAGGCCGAGCAGACGGGACTCGTGGGCGTAGAGGAAAGGATAAGCCACGAGCTTCCGAAGGGCCTCGAGTGCCCTACGGTTGCCCGCGACGGCCTCCTCCGCAGTAAAGGACATGGGTGGAGAGTGGCGAAGTAGGACAGCAGCGACGGTCGCGGGGACACCGGGGCTGCAGAGGGCGGACGCCGCGCCGGAGCTGGAAGCGAGGACGCTGGGCCCCAGGTGGTACTCGACCGAGCGCAGTCTCCTCTCCGGGTTGCGGCGCGGCGAGCGGATGGAGGAGATCGGCCGCGGGCGAGACGAGTTCAGGCGGCGGGCAAAGGTGTCTATTTTTTTTTTCCCGTAGAACTTCCGCTTTTTTGTTTCCGTGGGACGGACTTTCACCTTCCGTGAGTTCCTTTTATCTTTCATTTCTTTTTCCTGTATGTAAACATAAAAGCGTCGGTCTTTTCTTTCTTTTTTGCTCGCCTTGTTTTTAGTCGGATTTTTTCTTTTATATTTTGTATATAAAAAATAGAAATGGAGTATCTTCCATTTTTAAATATAAAATTTAATAATAAATACGATATTATGGGTTTTTCCTTTTATCTTTTATAATCGAAATGGGGTATCTTCCATTTTTTCTTGTAAATATAAAAATTAAATAATAAATCGGTATTATGAGTTTCTGAATCATTGATCCTTCTCTAACCTAATAAATTATTGATGTAGTTTTCACTATGAATAAAACTTATTAAGGAGAACAATATTCTTATTCCGGTTTAGCAATCTAATTATGATTTTTATTCGATTTTTTAATTTTGCCCTTGCAATTTTAAAATGAAACATTCGTTTGCCCCTGGTTTCGATGTCATTTAGTTAATGGTTGAATAAATGATTAAAAAAAGCAAAACCCATGGAAAAGGAGGGGGAAAAACAAAGTTGCCACTTATCCTTATCTCCTTCCTCTCGCCCCACGCGCATCTAAAATTCAAAAACCCGAGTCAGGCTTGTGGCGGGTCCAACGGCTTGGGGTGGGTCCGATGGTGGCTGTAACACCCCGGTGTTATGCCTACATTTAGGCACTGCAAATCATGCATATCATGCATCACCAAGCATCCTAATCATACATGCATAATCTTGCCTATAATAACTGAAACATTACTTCGAAACATACGAAACATGTTTGTGAAACGTAAATGATGCATACACTTATTAGAGTTGTTTTGCTCTGATTCTTGCTTGCTAGGTTAGTAGAACATGTTTGGCTGCTATTGTAAATCATCTAGCAATGTTTAGTTCAATTTTTGGAGCAATGTTTGTATTCAAATTAATTCAAAATTCGGCTTCAAAAATAAATTCCAAAAATTAGGGTTTTGAGCTAAACGTGGACTTTGATCTTCCAATTCAAAATCTAGAAAGAATTTGGCTGTGGTCCTAAAAGCAAAGTTGTAGAGAATTAAATTCTAAGCAACTTTCATTTTTGGTACATTTTCAAAAGAGGTCATCTTCTTACTCAAAATAAGATTTGAAAGCTGGCTTTTAAAAAAATTCTTGAAAATATAAATGAAAAAGAGTTTTTTACATTTTCGCTGGTCATTCTACTTCCTGCCCAGACCCATAAGCCGGCCCCAAAGAAAGCCCCCTCACACACCCAGCCCATGTATGGCTTCCTTCGCTGCCATTTTGGCCCAATGAAATTCACCATGACCAGCCACGCCACATTCGCTTCTTCGCCAGCTCAAGACTGCATGTGCCGACGACCCGATCGCCGATCGCCAGCGGCGCCACCGTCATAGAGCTCCTGATCATGTGACCCACCACACGGCTTCTGCTCAGCTGACTTGCCGAGTCTTGAGCACCTGCAGCGCACCGCATTCCAAATAAGCCCATTCACTCCCTCGCCATGCCCTCTCTTCCTCTCACCACAAGGCCACTTATCGCCACTGCAGCACCACCGCGCCTTGCCGGAGCTTCATTCGCCCGACCACCTCATTTCACGCGGTGACAACTCCGTCTAGCCTCTGACTCCCACACCCAGCACCCGTGCTCTCGCTTCTTTGCAGTGGTAAGCATCCGTTCTTGGGAATTGCTTTCGCCGAACACTCAGCCGAAGCCACCGGTGAGCTCCGCTCCCGTGGACTCCCCTCCCAGCTCCTCTTCCTACCAGATTACTTGGCAAGACAAAGCACCCAGACGGCGACGTTGAGTCTCCCGAGCGCCTCCTTGCACCCGCCGTGGGCCGGAGATGCTCCACCGGCGACTAGCCACGCCAGCCGCCTCCCGCCATTACTGTCAGCCGAGCTTTTTCCTGCACCGCCTCCCTATTCACCTCTATCCGACGCGGTTTGGCATGGGGAGCACGTTGGTGCCCTCCGTTTCATGGGGACCTCGCCGTCGGCGAAGTTTCAGAATTGCACCATGTCGTCCCTCTCTCTCGTCCCTGTTTTCTCTCGGGCATGCGGGCCCCGTTTGTCGTCCGCCGCCACTTCATGAGGGATCGAGATGGGCTGCGTCGTTCTGGGCCGTGTCTTGCACAGCCACAGTCGTGGGCCGCTTGAAGCCGTTCGGGCTGGCCCGATAACGTTTAAAGTGATTTGATTTCCATTTATTCTTTATTATTTGAAATCAAAATGGTTTGAAAAATATTTGGATACTCAAACTTGCTCCAAATTTGTTGAAACAAATTTTGCTAGGTTCCTTATCATCAGATCTACTTGGGAAAAATAGTGCATGTCATTTTTGAGATACTTTTCTATAGGATTTTATTTAATCTTGAATATTGCTGATAACTTGAAAAATATGTAGAAAAATATATAGGCTTCAGAAAAATATGATTCCAAGTTTGTTAATCTTCTTATTTCATGTACTTCCTAGGAAAAATATGTTTCATGCATGTGCTGTGGGAAAAATTTGAGGTGTAGTTCAAGTTCCTTTAATGGCTGATTTTTGTTATTTTTGCTAGAGCACAAATTTTGTATAAAACATGCATGTGACAATTTTTGTACAGTCATTATATACCATGAAGAACCTAGGAAAAATATTAATTCTGTTGTTTGACACTTTTCATAGTACAAAGTAATTTCATGCTCATTTTTAGGCTATAGCTTGTCATTTTTGTGTAGGATAGTTTACTTATCCAAATGCCATGAAATTTTTATGGTAGTCTGTTTAGGGTAGTAGTATGCTACTGTAATTTTCTCAGATTTTTAGGAGCATCAGAAATATAGGTTGCTATTCAAACCTATTATTAATTAGGGTTTAAGCAAGTGTTGCCTTAAGTGTGATTAAGAAATTAGTAAAGCTTTGGTGTATCTTTGAAGCATTTCACAAGATAGGTTAACTTGACATATTAGTAGTAGAAGAGAATGCAGTAGATGACATGTGCTTGTAGCATAGTTTCTTGGATGATGTTGTCTACCTTGCCTTTCAACATATTCATTGCATTCATCTCCTTCGATGCACCGATTGCATAGGCACTTACACGCATTGCATCATACAGGATCGCAAACCGAGAACCCAGTCGTCATTCCCGAGGAGCCCGAGGAGCAGTTCGAGGTGCAGCCGCAGGAAGTGCCAGAAGCCGACGAGGAGGACGTTGAAGAACTTCCGGAGTGCCCGATCACCGTCCGAAGCTCCTTGAGAGAGGCAAGCCCGAGACATCTTTCTCCCGGTTTGCAATGATTTCGTTAAATGCTTTACTTTAAATTGATGCATTACGTTCAGGTTGTTTGCAACCGTTGCTTTGCATTATACCTTGTTTACCTTTGTTATACTATATCCTTGTTACCACGGTATCCGCATGATCGAGTCAATGCTTAGGTGGCTTAGACCGGTAGAAGTCGGTGATTTCTGTCACCGCGAGCTATAGGTGGTTACCTGGATCTGCTTTGGATGGCTATGAAGTCATGGTATAACTAAGTGTTAAATGAAGTTGAGACCGGGCGGAGACTTGCGGGGTTTTGGACTGTAGTGTTTCCGTCTCAGGTCGATTAAGGACCGACCGTTGTTGGGCCTCGAGTCATGTTGAACGATGCCTTACATTTAGTGGGGCGGATAAAGTACCTTCCGACCGCTGGCCGGAGATTTTTCGGCCGAGTAGATTGCCCATGACGCAAGACTGTGCGGCCGGTGGTGTGGTAGGACACGGGCGGGATGATAAGACCAAAGTGCGATCGGTCGGCCCCGGTACATGTGTGGTTCTGGCAAACTCGAGATACCGGAAAGTTGACTCGGTGATCAATATCTCACTTTAGCGGGTGAGTGAGATTTGTGTAAGGAATAAATCACCACCGGGTTAGGAATCGATTCGAATCGCCATCGCTCCCGGATAGTGAGCACTTGACTTGAGTGACTTCATCGTAGTAAATGTTTATGGAACACTTGGACAGATTATAGTGAATATGACAAGATGGAAGTTGTTTAATGATCGATGGTTATCATTAATTGCTTAATCACATGTTTACTTTAGTATAGGTGCAAATCTAGTCGACAGGTTAATAATAATTAACTTGACAATAATGCTTTTAGAAAGGTTCTTGAAATGCTAAAAATGCTTCTTTACGCAAAATGAGTCACCTACCCTACTATAATGCCCATAATCCTTGGTGTCATTTATTTTCGGTTATGTCGGGTAAGTCCGGCATTGAGTACATTCTCGTACTCGTGGTTTTATTCCCACTTGTTGCGATGGGCGGATGTACTATGGCTATTGTATCAACCGCCTCTATCCTGCGATGGGTGATGCTTAGGACCATGGGCATGGTCATTCCTTACGCCTCATCTAATGCTTTTGTTGGAGATGATCATCACCGGCACTATATTTGAACTCCGTGTGAGTGTGTGTTTTAAACAAATGACTTCCGCTACTTTTTATTCGAACTTGTTTTGTAATAACTTTTATTTAAACTCTGATGTATCTGTTATGGAAACTTTTATGTAATATGTGATTGGTGACCGCTAAACTTATTACGATCATGGCTGGGACACGAGTTGGTTTGAAATCCTTCGTGATTTCACGGACTACCGGGTTATACGGGCTTAAGTTTGCTCAATCGTCCGCTTTCGTGGATGATTTTCTTACTTAATTTCGTATAATTGGTCGGTTCTACATACGGTGGCATCGAGCATGGTTTAGCGTGTTCTTCGTTCACAAGTGTATTTAAAACAAAAGGCATTTGGAAAACGTGAATTTCAAAATCTAAAGTGTGCCAGTGATCATATTCCTTATGCCCAGTTAAGGACTTTAGGTGGCTTAATTAAGTACTGACTTGGGGTTCTTGCATCATATTTCTCTTTAAATCGCTCATACGGCGTGCTATTGTATGAGTGCCACTTGTTTGAGTGGTAATGAATGGATCATTTGCCTCTCACGCCTCGGTAAGTGTGAGTTGTGAGAGCATGATCGGATACACCGCCGATCTAGGGTAAAT